GAGCAATTAAAAAAAAAAAAAAAAAGAAGAAATCTAATTACACAAACAAGCTATTAATTTAAAAAGAAAACAGGGAAAGGGAGAGAGGAAAAAAAAATAATCCAAGCTCTTCCATTCATCCTCCGGATAATGGAATTTGCTTCCTTTCTCCAGCATGTGAATAGCCTAACAAAAACAACTTGAGCTTTATAAATAGCTTTTCATGTCCATTTAATGAAAATGATTTGGGGAAAGAGACGATTGTGCCATCAGTATTCTCCCGAGGAGCCTGGCATGCCGTTGTGTTTAGTTTGAAAGTGTAAATCTCTTTTGTTCCAATAATATATGGCGTTAGCTGCTTGTCCTCAGTCTTTTTCTGTTAGTTCATTACTACACAATTACCATTCACGCTTCATTAGCATCTCTGTCTCTCTTGGGGAGGTTCCCCCCCCCCCCCCCCTTTTTTTTTTTTAAGGCAAAACTCTGCCCTTTTTATCATACAAATGCCATTGGGAACCAGGCAATGTGCTAATTAGTTGTTACTTTTCATGTCTTTGGCTTGAATTCTCCAACTTTGGGTGGGGGGGAAGGGGCGAAAAAGAGATTAATATAAAAAGATGAATACTGATTGATCAAAACTGCATCTGAGGCGGAGCGGTTTTGTTCAGAATCAGAAAAGTCCTCATTTTCATCTTGAGCATAATAAAGCGTCTGAAATGATAAAAGCGTCTGAAAAAAATCAAATGCTTCTGAGCAGGAGGGAAAGCTTTTTTATTATACCTCTATCTTAGCCGGTACGCCTCGCTTTGCCTTTTCAGGCCGGAGACCTTTGAATCTCCCAACAAAACCAGCCACTATTGATCCATTTTACACGTTTGAGTTGATAGATCTAATCCCAGCGATCACTGGCTGAAAGAGGGGTGCTTAGTTAAGCCTAAAGCTCCTTTTCAGGGCCCCAGGTTGATGGGTGCCCACCCGAAGGGCAGGGAGGGGGGCGGCGGGGGCCAGTCTCGCTCTGCTCAGCACTGTGTCCCCCCCACAGCTGCCTCCACCGTGGTCCCCATCCCCGGCACCTTCTCCTGGCCTCTGGCCGCCCGTGGCAAGCCCCGCCGCGGCATGCTGCGCCGCGCCGTCTTCTCCGACGTACAGCGCAAGGCGCTGGAGAAGATGTTCCAGAAGCAGAAGTACATCAGCAAACCCGACAGGAAGAAGCTGGCAGCCAAGCTGGGCCTCAAGGACTCGCAGGTGAGAAGGGGCACAGGGGTGTGGGTAACCAGGCCCCAAAGCCCCAGGGGCAGCTTGAGTAGGGGAGGAAAAGGGGACAGGAGTAGGGAAAACTGCCCATGACCAGGAGAAAGCCCACAGCAAGCTACAAGGCTGTGAGCATCGAGGGAGCCAAGAAAGCAGCGCGATTCCCAGCTGGGTGAGTAGGACAGGACAGACCACGGCCTTATTGCCCCCCGACCCCTCTCCTAGGGTCCCCAAAGGTCATCTTCTCTGGTCCCTGTTAGCTTCAGTATGGACATGAGCAGGGTTTTGAGGGTGCAACCAAAAGGCTTTTCCTGGTCCCTGTTAGCTTCTGTATGGACATGAGCAGGATTTTGAGGGTGCAACTAAAAGGCCTTTCCTGGTGCCTGTTTTACTGAACAGTTTCATTTCTGTGTTGCTTCTCCCCACCTCAGGTGAAGATCTGGTTCCAGAACAGGAGGATGAAATGGAGGAACTCCAAAGAAAGAGAGCTCCTCTCTTCTGGTGGCTGCAGAGAACAGACCCTACCCACCAAGTTCAACCCTCACCCAGACCTCAGTGACGTAGGCAAGAAATGCTCGGGAGAGGAGGAGGAGGAGGAAGTTCCCCCTGTGTGCCCACCCAGCCCCCGGCATCCCTTACCCTACCACCAGTCCCCAGAACATCTACACCTGAGGGACAGACTGGACTCCCATATGTCTCCTTCTCCATCCCATTCTAGCAGCCCCAGCAAACCTTCAGACTTCTCAGACTCAGAGGAAGAGGATGATGAAGGAGAAGAGGAAGAGGAGGAGATAACAGTCTCTTAGATCACCCCACCTGCCCCTACCATCACATGGGGACATTGCAAAGATGTAAATAAAAGAGTGCTATAAATTGAAGAGGTGATGTCCCACCCAAATGTCCACATACTTCTCCAGTGCAGGTTCTTTATCACATAACTGCAAGAATTCCTACTTATAGGCATTCCTTTTTTTTTTTCCCCCCCATGTGGATGTTTTCATATTCATAGCATCTGGTAACCTTTTCATAATTCCCTCTGCTTAATCAACATTTGCTCAATTAGCTACCTTCTCCTGAAGGCAAGCAACAGGCAGCTCCTTGCTTTACAGCAGGGAGGAAGATATATCCTGTTGAGAGGGAAATTTCTTTCTCCCAGATAAGAAACAACAAAAAATACAATATAGACATTGTGGCCATTTTTACTACCTTTCAAGTGAATTTCCATCTACTATTAAGATTTCAAATCCCTGAAGACTGGTCTGATCCAGCAACCCTTTCCCCACAAAATAAATAACGTTTCTGAGGGACCCAGACCAAATGCTGCAGCCCTCCTCACCCCAAATAGCGCAATACTTGTGCAACAGACCCATTGAAATCCCTGGGATGACTTCTAAGGTATAATGTAAGTGTGCCTTGTGTAACAGAGACCTTGAATATTTATGTTTTTCATTTTAATTTATGCATCAATATTATATTGGAAGCACTGTCTAACCCACCTTTTTGCCCCCAGGCCTGTGCTTGTTTTCCACTTTGCTTCTGTTATCCATTATGTGGACAGAGGAAAGTGGATACACCTCTTTGATTTTGACTGAACTTTGCTGTCTTTGCACAGCTTATATGAACTGTACACTATTTTGTACACTTACTCTGTATGGATGTTTTATACCAAGGTTATTGTGAATGAATATAACAATGGCTCAACAAGATTTCTCTCCTTTTTTAATTAAATGATGGCTGAACTACAGGCAAATGTAGCTGTTTAATTGTGTAACTTATAAAGAAACTCTTATTTTGTATTTTACCATGTACAGACTTTAAATATGTATATATAATAAAGCGAACAATTGTCAAATAAAAAAAAGTAGATTTCCAAGTTTGATCATTGGGTAATACTTGTGTCTGGGGCCAAATAGGAAAAGAAAAGAAAACTACCTTTTATCAACAGTATAGTGATTCAATAAGAATTTATCAGCTTCAAATTAAATAACCTTACAAGAATGTCTACCTGCCTTTTAACTAGGGAGCAACTCGACCAAAGGGTTACAAATTTTCTGCAGTTAACATGAATACAGGTTCTCCCTCCTTGCATTTAAATGCAACTTAATTTCTGCTGATGTTACTCTGTGCTCCCTTCTAAAGGACTCCCCTCTTTCCTGCCAGTTATTGCCCAGGTAGGTCAGGGTGTGGACACTTGCCCTGCATCACCCTACTAAGATATGACAGTCTGTAGACTGAGAGATGCAATTAGGATATTCTCATGGGTTGGAGAAACAGAGTGGAAGAGATAGACTTAAGAGAGCTCCTCAGTCTTAAGTCCAGGCGAGGATCACTTCTACAATGCAAGGCAAATCCATAACTACCTGTGCGTGTTTTCAGATACAAATACGCGCTACAGAACAGTCAATGCTTTCCTCCTCACATACAGGTAGCAGACTTCTGCTGAAACAGAGATTTCATTACAAAGTTAGGTTATCTCCACAGACTCTAACACCCACCACTCACGACATACCAAAACAGAAGGAGCAAATGCTGCAGATGTCACCTGAACACAACTAACCCTGTACGCTCCTCTTCGCCACACTGCCACAGCCAGGAGAAAAGACCCAAAAGGGAGAAGAGAGTAATTCCAGATGGGAGGGACCTATAACAACCATCTAGTCCAAGTGCCTGACCACTTCAGGGCTGACCAAAGATCAAAGCATGTTATTAGCGGGCATTGGCCAAAGCCCTCCCAAGCACTGCCAGGCCTGGGGCATCACCCACCCCTCTAGGCAGCCTGTTCCAGGTCTTTAGCTACTTTCTGATTAGGTAATTGGACACACCTAAGCCAGGACATGTTGTCACTGGAATCATCTTCTCCCCCTCTAACACCTCGCAGCAATTAGCAATTGATAACATACACCTGAGACAGGGCAGAGAAAGGATCGGGCACATCTAGTATTTATCACACAAAATACAAGAAGTAAAACTGCATGAGGGGTTTTTTTTTTGTTGTTTTTTAAAAAAAGCTTTTCCAAAAAAGCAGCACATCTCCCAAGCACACCTAAAAGGTCACACAAACGTGCATTAAACAGCAACTGGCACAATCTACCCAAGTGCTCATTCAGGCCTAAATAAAAGAGCTATTACATGCATTACCAACAGTGTATATACTGGAGGATATGTTGGTACCCATCTGTTGGCTCTAAGTGATAGAGCACCCCATGACAACTATTGATAACACAAATGTTACTAGTCCAGTAAGCGTAAGACCACAGTTAAGTAACCTATAAAGACAGATCTAGTTCAAAACACATATTTTTGCTTTAAAATTCGTAGGCTACTCCAGAGACCACAGGTACCATCACACATACCACAATACTCAAGAAAGGAACATGTTCAAAACAAGAACAGGTATCATTGATACATAAACCTTCTTAATTCAGTGTTCAACAGAAGCTACTAGTCATCTTACACCCTCTGCTTTTTACAGCTTGTCTGCACTTGGAATGTTACCAAAAATAATTATTTCAGGCTAGTACTTTCAGCATGAGTGCTATTACATCTTATTCTCCTATGCAAATATCCTTACTAGGGGAAAAATTACCTGGAATTGCCATTTAACAGGGGAAAACCCTTACCCAAAATGTGACATCCATCAATCTTACTTCACCCCTCCCTTTTAAGGGTCTTTCAAAGCAAGAAGAAAATTGTATGACCACCAAGCCACAAGCATTTGAGATTCAGTGATGCCATAATAGGAAATTAAGGAGGGATTGTTGGGGGGAAGGAAGGTTTGGGTAGATGTTTTTGGTTTTTTTTGTTTTTTACTTACCAAGAGCTGCCAGAATGCATCTGTACCTCACAGGAAAAAAGCCTCCCTTTCAAAGGCTTCCATTTTATGCTCTGGATGGTGAAGCCAGAGTTCACAGCTACCATGTGATGGCTCATGCAGGTCAGCTGTGCCAAGGGAAGTCCTGCAGAGGTAACTACCCTTTCTGAGGTCTTTCATCAGAGACATAAATTTGTTCACTTGTCTCAAATGCAGAGAGATTCCAGTTGCTTTAGGAAGACCTGATGACAACTGGGCTTGTTCCTGGTGTGCAGGACCCTGGGAGCTCAGCTTGGGTGTATTTCTAAGAGCAAAAGGTTTCATAATTTGCTGTTAACATAGAGGGTCAGAGGCCACCTCCCTCTATTCCCTGAAGCTAGCTAATCTTGGTGAGGCTAAGACAAAACTGCTGGCCCTGGATTGTATTAATTAATTCATTAATTAATGCAGCTCTCTGTATGCTTTGGGAAAGGAGGAAAGGTGATAAGAAGCCTTTCCTGCTTCCATGGAGAGGGAAAGATTTCTATATTGACTAGTAGCATCCACAGTTTTTGAAACTCTGGAACAAAGTAATCCTGCCTGTCATGACTCCCATAACAACTGCTGCTTTATGATGTTAAAGTGCTCTTTTTAAAGGCCCAGAGTGGCCTTGTATGCCTAGTCTTCCTTCTCACAGCCAGAATGGAAATATCTGACACTGGGGAACAGGAAAGGCAGAGAGGGGGATTTATCTTTGGTGACTGTGAGCTCAGGGCAGCAAATTCTCAATTATTTTATCCCTTAAGAAACCAGCTGGTTCAACATCTGTGCCTGCTGTAACTCTGGTCTCCTGCAGCGTGGGAGAGTGGCTTTTGGACAGGGGAAGAAAAGAAAATAAATCACTTTCTTAGGGAGTCTGTGCTGCTGTTACCTGCAGAGCTGTACGGCAGCATCCTCCGTCGGCAGACCCAGAGTGCACCCGGCGTGCATGGGGGCCGGCGGTGGCACCCCTCCGGTCCCCCTCCCCGCCTGAAAGGCTGCTCAATCACCACCCCGCACAAGCTGGGGGAGCTGGAAGCGTTTTCACCTGTGCCACAGCTGGGGCAGACAAGGAAGGCAGCCTCCTGCACAGCCCTGTACCCAGAGCACTGCGCCAATACTGCTGTATGGCCATTGGAAAAACACTTATCCATACATGTAGAAATCATCTAATAAGCCACAGACGGTAACACTATATGGAGGAAAGCATGTTTATCCCATCTGTATGAAACACTATCTTTCCTAACAACAGTAAGCAAAAAATGATCGCCAGCCACCCCGCGTTTCGCTGCTGCAGAACTTGAGACTGTCACAGTTGAGCCAAAAAAAAAAAAAAAAAAAAAAAAAAAAAGAAATTGCCTCTTTTGAAGAACACTTGTCCTCCAGGGAAGTTTGAACATTACAATCATCTTAAAGAAATAGAGCCCAAGATGCAAGGCCATGGTTTCCAGAAGCAACCAATGCAGGTTGAGGATCATGAAAGGCTAAACCCCCATCCTAAGAAAAAACAGACCTCTTTGAAGAGACCCAAGTTCAGTCCTCAAAAACATTAATGGCATTTAAAAAGCTTTGCCTGGGAAGTTTAAGGTAGTTTGACACAACAGCTATGGGCTCTGCTATTGTCAAGAGGAACAAGGCAGGGTCTCACTCCTGGTTGCATTCAGCCACCCCTCCCACCCTGCCCCAACCCCACACACACGCATTGGCACATAGCAGGGCCTGAAGTCGTCAGCTTGAAGAGCAGAAAATTGATCAGTTTTCTTGACTTGCTTTGATTTCAGCTGCTCTAGCACCTGGGACTGCTGCCCAATCTGTCAGAAGTGCATGTGGCAGAAATGCACAGCAAGGATTGGAAAGAGGTGTAGAAGATCATCCCTTCTGACAGCCCTTGTTATTAAATGATCTTAAATGTACATCTTTAAGGCTGTTGTATTTTTCAACCAGGACTGAACCTGATCTAAATACATAAAATCCTTC